CTATGGTCTTCTGTCCTTTATGAAGCTTCCCTTTGGCTGTGTGATGTTGGGCAAGTCACTTCACCTCTCTGTGCTTCAGTTTCTGCATCTGTAAATTGGTGATAACAATAGCAGTAGTGGGAATTCCCTGGCGGTCCAGTGGTTAGGACTCCGCGCTTTCACAGGCAAGGGTCTGGGTTCAATCCCTGATCGGGGAACTAAAATCCCACAAGCTGCATGACTCGACAAAAACAAAACAAAACAAAACAAAAACAGTAGCCAGTAGTGAGGAATCATAGTGAGGAGTGATGAGTCTATGCAGGTAAAGGGCTTTGAATGGGGCCTGGCACGTGATGAGCGAGAGCACTGCCGATAAATATTGTTGATACTAATCATTTTTACTATTGTTATCGAGGCTCACCTGCTCCTCACATATGCATTTCACAGATGAGGAAACTGAGGTCCAGAGATTAATTCCCAATTAGGAAGGCTTCCCGGGAGGATTGGAGCTTTTACAGCGTCTGGGCAGGAAACTGGCCTTGGAGCTGGGAACTGCGTTGGTGCTTCAGCTCACAGGGAGCCTGTCAGTGACCTTGAAACCTGCAGCCCCACCCCCAGCCACGTGGGCTCCTAACAGGAAGAACTTGCCCGCCCAGCCTCCCGGGGGGGTGTGGGGGGGTGACTGCTTAAATTAACACGGGTGGGACTTCCCTGGCGGTCCAGTGGTTAGGAATACGCGCTTCCATTTCAGGGGGCACGCGTTCGATCCCTGGTCGGAGAACTAAGATCCCGCGCGCTGCGAGGTGCGGCCAACAACAACAAAAAAATTATCAGGTGATGGAAGTGAAATGCCCTTGCAAACCTGAAAGCCATGGAGATTATTATTCCACTTTATTCACCGGCTCATTTGTTTGTTCGTTCATTCCCCAAATGTTTATAGAGCCTGTCTGTGCGCCAGGTGATCTAACAGTGAGCAGTACAGAGATGGCCTGTCCTCAGGGTCTTAAGTGCTCATGAGGGACATCTCCCCCCACAAAAAAAAAAACAACTGTGATGTCAGGTAGTGATACTTGCTAGGAAGAAAAATAAAGCCATAGTTGGTCATGGGACAGACTGCAAAGGAGGCTCTTGTTTCAGAGCAGTCTGGAAAGTTCTCTTGGAAGAGGTGACATTTCTGCAGAGACCTGAAGGAAAGGAGGGAGTGAGCCATGCTATTACCTGGGAAGAGCCTTCTAGAAGAGGGAACAGCAAGGGAGAGGCCCTGAGCCAGGAGCAGGCTTGGTCTGACTTCCTCATTCAACCCACTGCAGTCTGACTCCGCCCTCATCAAGCTTGCTGCAGTCAGCACAGGCCCTAATTGCGAAGCCCAGTGGCATGTCTCAGCCCTCGTCTCTGCTGCGTCTGACAAGAGATGAACAACTTCTCAACCACCCACCAGCCAATAGTGACTGGACACCTACCCCGTGCCAGGAATGATTTTTAGACAGACACGACCCTGCCCTCAGGGTGCTTACAGTCTCCCGGGAGACAGGCGGTAAACAAATAAATGTGTGAGTACAGGCTGTGGATGGACTTTGCATGGTGAGGGAAGGCCTGAGGAATCAGCCGGGCAAGATGGGAGGAGACGTCAGAACACCGTAGCCCCATTTTACAACTGCTTGTCTTCTCCTGCCGTGTTTCTAAAAGGGAATCAGAGCGTATGTGAGGCCAGAATTCTGAGCCGCATCATTACATCGTAGAGGCCCAGAACCTGTTTTAGCACACTACAGAGCAGAATAGAGCGTTGCCGCGTATCAGCAGAAGGAACGCTGGCCTTGGACTTGAATGAATGTGGAGTCAGGCCTGGCTCTGATTCGGTGACCTCAGAGGGGTCACTTCACGTCTCATGTTTCTTTATATGTAAATGGGAGTATTCATAAGATCCCTGACTAGCACATCAGGCAGGTGGTTGTTGTCAAGGTTTCCTTTTTTTGGCTGCGTTGGGTCTTTGCTGTTCTTTTTCTTTTCATGGGTCTTCGTTGCTGCACGCGGGCTTCCTCTAGTTGCGGCGAGCGGAGGCTACTCTTCATTGCGGTTTGCAGGCTTCTCACTGCGGTGGCTTCTCGTTGCAGAGCACAGGCTCTAGGCACGTGGACGTCAGTAGTTGTGGCTCGCGGGCTCAGTAGTTGTGCCTTGCGGGCTCTAGAGCGCAGGCTCAGCAGTTGTGGCGCATGGGCTTAGCTGCTCCGCGGCACGTGGGATCTTCCTGGACCAGGGCTCGAACCCGTGTCCCCTGCATTGGCAGGCGGATTCTTAACCACTGCGCCACCAGGGAAGTCCCTGTAAAGGTTTCTTAATCATTTATAGCCAAAGGCACTCTAAAAAGTGTGATGGGAGTTCCCCAGTGGCCTAATGGCTAGGATTCTGGGCTTTCTCTGCCAAGGGCCCAGGTTCAATTCCTGGCTGGGGAACCAAGATCCCAAGGCCGCGCGGTCGCCAAAAAAAAAAGGGTGACGTATAAGGTGGCATTACCAGTAAGTAGTAGAGAGAAGGCAATTATCTTGAAAAAGGAAATACTGTGGATGGTCAGTCTGAATGTTTAAAAATAAAATGCTAGGAAGGAAATGGGGGAAAAAATGAGGGAAAAGCATTCCAGGTGTGGCACAAGAGCTTGATAGGTTTGAGAAACAGCAAGGAGGCCGCCTTGGTTGTACTGCAGCGAGTGAGTGGGGCAGGAGGAAGGGGGATGAAGTCGAGACTGGTGGGCAGCAGGGTCATGTGGACCACTGGGAGAGGCTTGGATTCTCTGCAAAGGGCAGTAGGGAGCCACTGAAGGTGTTTCAGTTGAGGGGAGAGGGGTGTGATTTTACTTGTGTTACCATCCATCCAGCTGCCAGGTGGGTAATGGATTGAGGGGCAGCAGGAGACCAGGGAGGAGGTGGCACAGAAGACTGACGGTGGCTTGGATGAGGATGGTGCCATGCCATCCAGTAGAACTTTCTGCAATGATGGAGATGTTCCGCACCCGCACTGCCCATTACGGTAGCCACTAGCCCCGTGGGGCAGTTAATTACTTGAAATGTAGCCAATGCAACGGAGAACCTGAATTTTTAATGTTAATTAACTCAAATAGCCACATGGGGCTAGTGGCTACCCTATCAGAAAGATGTGGACAAAGGTCAGGAGAGGGGACATGTATGGGAAGGGGAGATGGGCTGGAAGAGCACGCTGGGCCGGTTTCCCACCATCTTACAAGGATCTCTCCAGCTTTCTGGTAATGAGGGCAGGAGGGCCTGAGTCTGCCGGGCCCTGACTACCCCTCACCCCTTCTCCAGTGTTGAGGGAACTTTGGCTGAGTGACAGCACAGACAGTCCTCCCGGCCCAGCCATCATTAGATCTGGGTTCCCAGTCACTGCACACCATCAGGTATCCCTGGGCTGAGGAGGGCCAGTGGGAAAGGAGATGGCGGCCGTGTCCTGTCATCAGCAGGGGTCTGGGAGCAGGATGTGTCCTGTTTGTGCTCTTGGAAGAGGCTGCTTGTCCTGAGAGGCCTTTGGCACGGAGGGATCAGAGGACAGGTGCAAGGTGGCACCTCCCTGGCACCCACAGGCTAGAGGAAGGGGCAGGAATTCCTGGGCTCTGAGTTCTGTGTTCCCTGGAAGGTAGTCACCGCCTGGGTCTTTCTGCAGAGGTGGCCAGGGGTCGCCATAGGGCCTGAAAGACTCTCAGTTCTCACTGTGGTAGTTTTAAACAAAAAATAGGTCATGACAACCACGTGCAGTGTGTGATCCCGGCCCTGCTTCTGAACTAGGGAAAAAAATACTACAGGACATTATTGGTGAAATCTGAATACAGCTTATGGATTGGATTAGAAGAGTACAATGTCAGTGTTGGTTTCTGAGTTTCATACTTGCCCTGAGTAGGTGAGAGGACGTCCTTGTTCTTAGAAAAACTGCATAGGAACTCTCCCCTGGGGGGGGTGGGGGCGGGGGAGCCGAAGGTCTGCAGTTCCTTCTCACGTGGTTCAAAGTGTATATATACAGATAAAGCAAGTGGGCAAAACGTAGGGCCTCGGTGAATCTGAGTAAGGGAGTTCTGTGCTCTCTGTTGTAATTTTTCTGTAAGTTTGAAATTGTCAATATAAAAAATTACTAAAAAAGTTTTTTTTTTAAACCAACCGTCGCCCAAGCCCAGCCTTGTGTTCTGATTCAGGTGGTGCTGGGAGGGACCGAGTGTCAGAAGTTGTCAGTTCTTCCTGGTGAGTCTGGTATGCAGAGGGGTTGACAGCCACTGTGCCGAGTGGACCTGGATGGGCGCACGGTCTGTCACCTCTAGCACCCCCCCCCCTCCTCCTAGTGTTGGCAGGAATGGCAGGAGGAGCTAAACCAGAGGCCATGCACCTCTCAGCCGGGGCAGGGGGTGGGGGGCGCACTCCACGGTTGACTGCAGTGTCCTGGGCCTACCCAACCCCACTGGTCTGAAACTTCAGGGAGGGGAGGCTTCACTTCGGATTTGGCTTCAGAGTCTGCACTATTAACCTGAGCACCAGGGATAAGGATGGGAGGGAGGGGTGATCATCACTGGCATGATTACTAGCAGTTTTTCCAGCACTTACCCTGCAGTCAGGCCCATCTCTGATCACTGCATGGCTATTTTTTTTTAATATTTATTTATTTGGTTGAGATGGGTCTTAGTTGCAGCAGGCAGGCTCAGTTGCAGAACGTGGGCTCCTTCGTTGTGGCACGTGAACTCTTAGTTGCGGCATACACGTGGGATCTAGTTCCCTGACTAGGGATCGAACCTGGGCCCCCTGCATTGGGAGCGTGGAGTCTTATCCAGTGTGTCACCAGGGAAGTCCCTGCATGGCTTTTATCTCGTGTAGGACTGTGGGCTGCCACCTCTGTTTTACAGACGGGAAACCGAGGCCTAGAGTCTCTTGCCCAGGAGACCCCCAACCCCTCGTGCATCGGAGCCCAGACAGGGGACTCAGGTAGAGAAGTAAGTGGTACCTCCCTGACCTCCACCTGCTGTCTGGTTTCAGGGCAGGAAGATTATGACCGGCTGCGGCCCCTGTCCTACCAGAACACCCAGCTCGTGCTCATCTGCTATGACGTCATGAACCCCACCAGCTATGACAACGTTCTCATCAAGGTAAGGCCCCTCTCCCAGCCCGCCTGCCTCTGGAGGAGGGGCTATGGACGGGGCCCCAGCCCTGATGCCCGCCCTCTCCTTCCACAGTGGTTCCCGGAGGTCACCCACTTCTGCCGTGGGATCCCTATGGTGCTCATTGGCTGCAAGACAGACCTGAGGAAAGACAAGGAGCAGCTGCGCAAGCTCCGGGCGGCCCAGTTGGAGCCCATCACCTACACGCAGGTGGGCCAGGGGCCCCTCCCCCGCCCCGCTCCGCTGCACCCCATCGCCAGGAGCCCAGGACACAGCCATGGCCAGAGAGCCTCCCAGGTCTTTGGCCTCTGCATTTGGTGTGCCTTAGCAGCCTTTCGGGAGCTGAAGCCAGCAGGATTCTAAAAATAATGATTTTCTTTTTTTTGCCGCCCCGAGCAGCTTGCAGGACCTTAGTTCCCTGACCAGGGATTGAACCCAGAGCCACGGCAGTGAAATCACCGAGTCCTAACCACTGGACTGCCAGGGTTAAGAATAATAACTTTTAGATATTAATAATGATAGGCCACTTGCCTGAGCACTTTACATTACTTACCTCATTTAATTCTTATAACCTTGAGGCAGGTACTATTAGCGCCCTCCATGTTACAGAGGAGAGATGGAGACTCAGGTTAAGTAGCTTGCCCAGGGTCACACAGCTAACCTGAAGTGGAGCCAAGATCCCATCCCAGTCACTCTGGCCCCAGAGCCTGAGCCCTTAACCACCACCCTGTCCCATCCCCAGAGGCCTGGAAGGGCAGGCCCGCGTTGGAAAGCAGGGTTCCTTTCATGAGCCTGACCAAACCCTGCGGCCTTCTGGGTAAGGCATGGCAGAATAAAAGGAACACGAAGGAAAACTAATGAAGTTTAATAAAAAGGAACAGGCATTAATAAATTTGTGTTAGAAATACTGTTTTTACTCTTAATAGCCAGCTCAGTTGCCCGAACTGTGCTTTCGGGAAGAGCAGGGGAGAGAAGCACGTAGGAAGCCCTTTTGTCGTGAGGCCTTCAACTCTCCTCACAGGCCTGGCAGACACAACACACCACCCCAGTTCTCGGCTGAAGTCAGCCCCCGTCTCTGCCTGAGTTCGGGGGAAGCGTGGGCAGGAGGCCAGGACAGAGCTCCCAGCAGCTACAGCCCATAGGCCACACCACACTGGCCTTCATGGTCCATCCGCACACACTGGGAGAGTGCTGGCCCTGGGGTGAAGCGTCCCCACCCCGAGGCCTCTGCCCCCAGCAAGCCCCCAAATCTGTGAGGGGTCTCACAGGAGACCGCAAGCTCCAGGCCCCTCGTCTAATCGCGGCCCCTCCCCCCACCAGGGCCAGAGCGCCTGCGAGCAGATCCAAGCCGCCCTCTACCTGGAATGTTCTGCCAAGTTTCGGGAGAACGTGGAGGACGTCTTCCGAGAGGCCGCCAAAGTTGCCCTCAGTGCTCTGAAGAAAGCACAGCGGCAGAAACAACACCGCCTGTGCCTGCTGCTTTGACACCTCCCGGCGGGGCCCACGGCCCTCACGATAGAACTGAGAGGACCCAGGTCCCCAGCTCCAGACTACTCCCCGGATCCTGCACCCTCCCCAGCTCTCCAAGGGCACTCGGAGTCGGGCGTCTCCAGGGCCTGGTGTCTGGAGCCTGTGGCCAGGCTCTTGGAACATTCTGGAACTCTCTCCTTTCCCAGCTGGGGCTCTGACCACGAGCTCCCCTCCAGCCTGCTTGGTAGTGGTGAGCGAGGGTGCTGGACTCAGTCCCTCTGTACCCTGGAACTAGCTTTTGTCCCCAGGACTCAGGAGTGCCCTCATCACTACCAACCCCCAGCTGTGTGTCCCCTTCTGCACACCCAATAGGTCCTCAAAGCCTGTGCTTGAGATGAGAAATGACGTCTGGTATGAGGATAAATGTGGACTTGGCCGCGTTCCACACGGCCCCCAAGCCTGCTCTCCCCAGTCACCCGCCTCCCTGGTTTCCTGAGATAGGCACGGCTGCATCCTCCAGCTTCTTGCTTCCTCCCCGCAGGAACTCAGGCACCAGGATGGGACCGAGGCCTATCACAAGAACACAGGCCCCAGCCCCAAACGTGGGGGGCCGGCACCAGCCCCCTCCCTCCTCCCTTCCAAACAGAGGACTTAAGTCTCAGCCCTCGGCTTGGCCGCCATCTTTCCAGAGCTGGACGCACATGAGGCAGAGAAGAACCTCTCTCAAAAAGCAAAAAGTATTCTCTGGTTGATCCATGTGACCCTCGCTCAGTGTCTCCTCACCTGCAACCCCTCCGCTCGCCACTACTTGCCAGAAACCCGAGATAAAAAGTGACATCAGCTCCGAGTGATCTTGGGCAAGTCAGGTCTCTCTACAGACTGTCTGCAGAAGGACGGCACTGGCTCATTTAAATAGTCATCGAGCTCCCGTCTCTCACAGCCTCCAATTCTGCCAAGATGTGGAGATCTGGAACCAAGGCCATCCTGGCCTCCTGCGAGAACAGACTTGATTAACCCCCAGTGCAGATTCACTGAACCTCCTAGAAGGTCTGGGGTCAGGGGCCCAAGAGTTTTGAAACAAGTGCCCCAGGTGATTCTGATGCCCCGGAGATTGAGAGCTGGTGGCTCCTGAGTAAGCCCAGGGATCAGCGTTACCTAAGATGAGATAATGGCTTGAGGTGGTCCTGCCATCCCCGGTATCTCCTGCCTCGGCCCCCTCCCTTGCCCAGTGCTTCAGCCCCCACTAGGCCTGAGAAAGAGACTTCTGAAGTCTACCCCACCCCACCTAGGTTCCCCAAGGCCCTGCCACGCCCTGGGGAATCAAGAGAGCATTCGGTCCAAGGCTCCGTGGACAAATGATGGTCTTGGACAGAGGTCCACAAACCACAGTCTGTGGGCCAAATCTTTATTTTTGTAAATAAAGTTTTAGTGAAAAACAGCCACGCCCATTCGTTTCCGCGTTGGCTGCTTCTGCCCTCCAGTTGCAGACTAGACTAGAGTGAGAGACCATCTGGCCCTCAAAGCCTAAAATGTTTGCCATCTGGCTCTTCACAGAAAAAGTCCACCAACTCCTAGTCTAGGGCAAACCCAAGTGCCTAAGGGGCCAGATGGGAGACCCAAATGAGTGAAGTAGGGCAGGGATGAAAGGGAGTGGTGGGGCCTGTGGCAAATTAGAAAGCAAGCACCCCACCCTAGACAAGGCAGCTCAGCCCAGCCAGATGCTGCTCTGTGGGAATGTTTCTAGATCTTTCCATTTCTCTAGGGAAAGTGGAAATCTGGATTTTTATGTGGCATCTTACTGGGGGGAGGGGAGGGGAGGGGAAGTTTCATACTTTAAAAGTTTAATCCCCTTTGACACCCAGAGCATGATTAGGGACACCATCTATGTACTCTGGTCGACAGGGATTTCTAAGTAAGTCGTTAAGGACGGCTGAGGCCCATATGAGGAGAAGACGCAGAAAATGCAGCCAAACTGTTCGCTTCTTCACCCTCCCCACAGATACAGAACCTAACGTGAGGTGACCAACAGACCTGCCCTGGCCTCTAGAGTGTGGCCGCCGCCTCGAAGTGAGCCCCACGTTCCAGAAGCTCTGAGGTGAAGGGAGGAAGCCTGAGCGTGGGTGACCTCCACGCTGGCTTACGTCCCAACCAGCGCCTAGGGGCTTGACCCCACGCCCTGAGTGCTCACGGAGAGAATCTGGGAAGGTGGGCTGAGGGGTGGGAGTCATGAAGCCCACAAAAGTGGACCCAATCTTTGAGAGAAAAAAAAAAAAAAAAAACCCCTCACACCAGCCAGACGATGCAGGGGCGCCCTCTGGTGGTGACCCTCAGAAAACCCTCCCGCCTCAGGCCAAGCCCTGGGCCTGTGGGAGGCAGGGCCACCTGGCGGCCAGCAGGCTGCAGACTCAGGAAGCACAAAGAGTACGAGGCACAAAGAGACGGACAGCGGTTCTCCGAGAACCTGAACACCCGCGCGGCGGGCGCGCGGAGGCCGGGAGCTTACAGCAGAAGCGGTGCCCCAGGGAGGGAGGCTCCCTGGGACACGGAAGGGCTTCCTTCCACCCGCCTGGGACTCAGTAAGTAGCAGGTCAGCGGAAACCCAACCCCAGCGAGGCACGTCCGAAGCCCAACCTGAGGGGCTCAAACGACAGGATGGGGGACAGAGGGGGACCCTGAGGCTAAGCCTCCCCCACCCCCCAGGAAGACTGACGCAGTCTCGCGGAGAGCAGCGGGGTAAGAGGGCGGCAGATTCTAGGGAAGGGGGTGCGTCGATATTAAATATGTCATAAATATGGGAGGCTGGGGCGGGCTAATACTGCACGGACAGGTTGGGGTCACATTCCTCTTGTCCGGCCGGGGACCGGGGCCTCGGCTCTGCTCCCAGCGATGCCGCTGGCCCCTGAGGTCACTGCTGCCAGTGGCCACTGGCACTGGTTGGGAGGAACCCGGCAGCGAGGGTGTCGCCTGGGATCCCCTGCAGTCTCAAAGTCCGGGGGTCGAGGGGCGCCGGTCCCGTGGCTCACTGCTTCTTGGCCTCGCTTCTGTTCTTCTGGAGTTTGGTGTGCACGACTTTGAGTGTGGTCAGGAAGTTGCCGAGGAAGAGGACAAGGAACGTAAGCGCCAACACGAACACCTGGGCGGGCGGCATGCAGAGAAGGGGGTGCCCAGGGCAGGGAAGGCGAGGCAGAGAGCACAAGAGAAAGAAGGCAAAGGCCGCGCCGGCTTGGGTCAGCTCTCCTTGCTGAAATGCCCCCCGCGCCCCCCGGGAGCTCAGAACCCCCTTGGCACAAGCTACCTGCGAACTGCAGCGTTTGCCAGCAGAAGGCAGAGATCTGGGCTAACTGGGTGAAGGGTGTGAGTCCTACGGGGTCAGGCAGAGTCCTGGGGGGCTCCTCCCGCGGCCCCCCTCCTAGCGCGAACCTCCTTGGGTTTCTCAGACCACTGAGGGGCTCCCTGGTCTCCCGAATTCCCTCCCACGGTCTCCCAGGCCCCAGTTGCAGCGAGCTCTGGACTGCAGGGCCCTACAGGGCGGGCAGGGGGCAGGGGGAACTGAGGAGGAAGGAATTCTCCCCAAGCGGCCCCAACCTTCCTCACGAAACCCCCAACCAATGCGCACACACGCTCCACACACACACCACAAAACACACACACACACACACACACACACACACACAAACACCATACCTGCCATTCTCTGCATTCCTCGTGGCTGGAGAGCTCAAATAACGTGATGGCATTGTAGAGCTGCCAGAACTGCAGAGGGGAGACAGGCACTGCTCAGCCCACCGGAGTCCCCTGGAGACCCACGTGGGAAAGCCCAGGGAGAGCACCAAGCCCCCCAGCTTCTGCTGTCCACTGCCCTTGAGACACTGACAGCCCCCCCAAAATGAAACTGGGGCACCCCGCCTGGGGTTGGGCGTGCTGGTGCCGAGGGCCCATTCCGGCTCTTGCCTTTGGCATCCCTGGACACTGGGGCCGTCGCAGCCCCAGGACCCCGTGGGGCCCAGCTAGGGGATGGCTGGTGAGAGAGGGAGAGCCCTGAAGACCTTCTGTTCCCGGGAGGTCTGCCCAGTGTAGGGGATACCCACAAACTCCAGGGGGACTCACGTGGCCACAGAACAGGAAGGGCAGAAGGAAGGTGAGGCCTCGCCACATCCAGGACTGAAATCCTTCTGTGGGGAGGAAGGAGGGAGCGAAGGGCCCGTGTGAGGTGGCCCAGGCAGGCCAGTCACTCTGAGATTAGCCAGGTTCAAACGCACGGATGGGGGAGGGGCACAGCCCTCACCTCCTCCAGGTGGGTGAGCGCTCACTAGGAAAGTAACCCAGGAAAAAACATGCAGAACACCTGCCACCAGGCCTGACTGCCCTCACGCCTCAAGTCACCATGAACCAAGTGGGCTGACAACTCTTACAGAACACTGATGTACCGGCACTAGCTTTCTAATAATTTCTTTAATTTGCACGGGATTTTGCATTTTATAATTGGCTTTTGCATGCATCACTTCAATCGAGTCTTGATGAAATAGAGCCTACTGTGCAGAGTAATTCGATGGAAATGACCATCTTAAAAGATAGAAGATTTTTATTAACCACACTTTCCCCTGAAAGTTTAGATGAGGAGTCTCCGATGTTTCCTAATGGGGCGCCCACCTTGCTGAGTGAAAGTTAAGCACACATAAGTTGCATAAGTGTAAAAACACTAGACTAAGATTATGCACATCACAAAACACAGACAAAAAGTATCCATTTAAAAAGAAGCTAGAGGCCAGCATCCAGGGCCTGGCCCACAGCTGGTCTCGCACTTGTCAGCTGACATGGAATCCCACGACGAATTATGAAAAGCAACTGTGTTAGTGTATATATGTCAAACCAAAGGAAAAAAAAGAAAAGCAACTGGGGTGAGGTCGGCAGACTGGCTTTGCGTGTGGCAGGTCTTGTCAGGTTCTTACTGGCACCTGTTCCCAGTGAGGAGTGCAGGGCGAGGTCTGGGGGAGCAGGGAGGGCCGGTGCTTGCCCCTCCACCCCCCAGGCTAGGCTACTCACCCACCGTGAGGTCCAGGTGATTCCTCTCCCCTAGGGCCCGCAGCCGGTAGAGGCAGCCCCTCTGGTAATAATATTGCAGGAACTGGACACAGCCTGCAGGGGGAGCACAGCGCCCAGCTCAGGGACTGGAAGACCCAGCGACACCTCCACTGCAGGCTGGCAGGTCTCCATTGCCCAGAGGGTACAACCTCCTCCCACCCCCAAAACACACACACACACACACACACACACACACACACACACACAGGTCTCAACCTGCTTTTATTCCTTCAAAGAGAGCTCAGGTTATCTGAGACTGCAACTAAGCCCCAACTAGGCTAGAAGCTTCTGGAGCTTTCCTAGGCCTGCAGCTAGCACTCATCAGATGCTCGCTGGAATGGAGGCACCACGCTGGGAGCTGTGTGCTCCCAGCGCCAAGACATAAAAGAGACAGGGCCATACAATGGGGTACTTTGTAGTCACTAAAAATTAAGGAGGCAGAGTTCCGTGTTGACGTGGAAAAATACCCACGATAATTGTTAATAGAATATAAACTAGGTTATAAACAAAGCTGTGTAGAGGGATCCCATGTTTGTAGACTATACATAATGCAGTATATGTGTGTATATATATATATTTATGAATAAAAATGTTTGAATGGACAAAGATCGATTAACACCCTAAGGGTGGAATTATTATATGTAATTTTCCTTCTTGGCTTATGTTTGTATTTGCCTGTAAGCAGGGTTTTATTTAAAAATTAAATTGTATTTTTTGAATAGGTAATATGCACTTGGCATCAAATTTAAGGGGAACAAACAGTAAAGAGAGTAAAACTCTCTCCCTGTCCCCCAACCACCCAATTTCTGCTTCTCAGAGGTAACCCCTCGTTGTATATAAATCCAGAGCTATTCTTAAATGAGAAAAAGAACATAAATTTCCATTTTGAGGAAAACAGAGTTAGTGCCCCCAACACCCCTCAGTTCCTGAAGGGTACAATTGGTCCAGTTCTGATCCAGGGAAGAAAAAGGCAGTGGCTGGAGATCCAGGGCGTGGGTGTGGGTCAGACATTGCTCTCTTAAGGCCAGGGGCTGGGCGGTAGGATGGAGTTGATGGGGGGTGGATGGCTCCTTCTGGATTTCTGGGACCCTCCCCTGTCCCTGGCCGACCAGGGACTTCCCCCAGTCTCACCTCCCTTCCACACAAGACACACCCTTCACAAAACAGACTCCATCGGTGAAAGCCACACCAAACCTCCTCCCCTGAATCCAAGCAAGAGACACTCACTCTGAAAAATGGAGAACGCTAAAAACTGATCGCGAAACTTCTGATAAATTAGTCCATTAGGCCTGCAGAGAAGTGGGGGAAAAGCAAAGATGAGCCCCCGCTCTGAAATCATTTGTTCATCCCCACCCCATCTCTGTTC